AAAAAAAAATTTATACTGAAGTTTTGTCTAAAATATCATGAAACAAACATTAGAGACAAAAAGCTGATAAGTAAAAACAAAAAAAATTGTATGTACAGGTACAATTTTGCATCGACAATTGCTAGCACCGTTTAGGTAAATAAATTAAAATAAATAAATAAATAACATATCATAATGCTCCAAGCGACGTATTCATTCTTTTATTTATTTTATTTTAATTTTAATTTTAATTTATACATTTATTTACTATATTTAATAAATATTTTTATCATACAAAATAAATGGGAAAAAATTCAACTCTAGTGGTGGAGATTTAGTTGTTCCTCACGAGTGTTTATTTAGTAATAAACGTATGAAAATTAACTTTGGACTTTTATTTTTTTGAATCGCTTAAATCAGACAACTGACTTTTAGACACCCCGGTATATTATACAGATTCATCTAGCTGATTGTCGTGCCGAAAATATTGATAATTATGTCGTCGAGAAAATGAAGTTAACAAGTTTTTATGCCGAGTAGTTTAATAATTTTCACAGCACCGGATAGGGAATGTATCGGTTCACATTTAATAAAAAACAAATAATGATTTCAAGCGCCCTACCAAGATATTCCTGATTTATTCTGGACATGAATTATTCTTCTGTGAAAACTTACTGTTATAAATTATTGCATTACAATGATCGTATGACGTTTCAAAAAAATACGTTTATGAACTGATTTTTCATTTATTACCTGTATAAAACGTTTCGCCATTCTCGATTTCAATAACTTGAGTTTCTTTTTGGTCGTGAATATTTGGCAAGTACGTAATACTTTTTTGAATAATTCCGATTTGATATTATATTAAACTCTCGCTTTTTTCGTACATACATTTTAGTATCGTATTTAAACATGGCTGATACTGTGATAAGTATTTTATATTATAATAACGACTAATAAATAAAGTACATACTTTTTTTTTTTTTTTATAAATGTTTTTCTCAACTTTTTGAATTTTATTTACATATAATATTATTATAACATAATTGACCACATATATTGTGATTTATACAGAAAATCTCGAACGGAATCAAATCCATCGTCCACCATTTGAATTCGTCTCTAATTATAACATGATGTACTTGAAAGCGGTCGCGCTACCACTGAAGAACCGAAGACGACTGAGCTGTCTCATTAATGTGATCCACACCCGAGTAATCGAATGGCGAATACGATAGAACACGTTTAATAATAATATATTCCAGTACAACCAATATTCATAAATATATTGTGTATATTATTTCCGGTTTAAGCTTTGGCTCTTCCGAATTTCACGAAATTATACGCGAAATTGTGTGCCAGTATCGTTAACGTTGGATTCGTCGAACCAGGGACTGCGTTTCGGTCAATTTTGCTGAAAAAATGTTACAATGTACACAAAGGCTTATGTGAAACTCCGACGGCAATAGTTTTTCTAAAATGTTTTGAAAAGCAATGAAAATACTTGAGGTTTATTTTTGTCGATTTCCCGAGAAAAAAAGTAAAAACTTCAATTTTACATCTCATCAGTTTACCGAGCTTTGCCCGGAATTGGTTATCGATTGCAAAGATCTAGTATTGATTTCGTGCATAACCTAAATTACAGTTTATATCTACCTACTAAAATTCCGGACTATTACTGAATATATAGTCTATACCCACGGTGCGAAGTTAATGGCTGGCTTTTTTAATTTGGGTTTTCACTGGCAAGAAGGTCCTCTTTTTAAAAGAGATTAAAAAGTTTATATTTTCTAGGAGAAATACCGCAAGCCGTCTTCGAACCGTCACCGTCAAACCGATAATATCATGAACAATTAAGAGTACATGGCGAATATTAAAAATATATTGCAAATATTTTTTATTTTATCTGATATTATTTACGTGTTTTGTCGTTTTAAAAGTTCATCGGTGAATTATATAACCTGGGTGCGTATCCCGAGAAGATTACATAGTCGTTTGTAAAAGAACTGATGAGAGTATATATAACGGCAATTTACAAATCGAGTATCTGTGCACCATTTTAAAAACGTTCGGGCAGAAATTATCCCATTAAATTACTCTTTAGAAACATTATGATATTGTGGATGTTCAATAATTACCTATTTCTAATGTCCAAAGACGAACAGTATGACGAGTATATCATTTACTGCTGTTGGAAAACGATACGTCCGGAGCCGATACGATGCCATCAACATCAAAAACATTAATACACGAAATAAAAGATATGCATTTCACCTTGACTGAATTCACGAAAGTATGAATATTGTCAAATTAACTAGGTACTAAATAAAATCTCTCGAGTTTATCGTGGACAACGTTGGCATAGAAACAAAATGTGTTAATTTTGTTTTTTACATTTACAGCTGTCACTGCTGAGAATAACATCAAAACAATAATAGTTTTATTTCAAGGTCACCGAGTGGTCACACACACACACACACACACACACACACATACATACACACACACACTTATCGTCGTATTCCTAATCTTAAATTAAAGAATTATTATTGTGATTGTGAATTTATAAATTGTCGTTCGTTGTTAAGTACCTATCGCCGTCCATACGCCGTTGTACACATTTTATTTTAGAAATCACAAACGTGAATCCCCTTTTTTTTATATTAAATATCGCAGGTGCTAATCGCCGAATAAAACATTACTTTGTATAACGAATACTTACGTTACAATTGAAATCCGTTACGAAATCTAGTTACCTATCTACCAATTTATTTGTATTGATTTATCTCTGTATTTCGTGTATTTTTATTTATTTATGTTTAGGTAAGCAGCTGGCCAGTCTGCACTCCGTACATCTTTTTTTTTTTAGGTATCAAAAAGTGCTTGACTAGGGCGACAATAGCGAAAGTTTGAAGCACAACGTAAATATTTTTAATTTTTACCAATCACCGAATAACACAAAATTTTAAAATATTTTCGATTCAATATGAAAATATTAGATAATATTTTATTAGTACGCGTTTTATTAAAATTCCTACCGTAATTGTAATCATTGTGGTCTATTGCTGTAAAACCAACTTCGTTCCGTATTTTTCTGTCTTGAGCTTCTTCACTAAAAATATTGTCTATATCAAGTTCATATTAGTTATCTTAATACATACTCAATAGAAGAAGTAAAAATATGGCATATAAATTAATTTATCTTCTATATTAAAAGGTACACATTTATATTAATTTTCGTTTTTTATATTATAACAGAATCAGACGAGTTGGTCAAAAAAAGATTATTTGACGATAATAGCTCTTCCTTCGGATCTTTTGATTTCATTTTAATGTCAGAGTAACACTACGAATATTGAAATTCCCTGCACAATTTTGCTAATGGAAATGATTTCGATAAATCTTACGTAAAATTAAATACTTTTCATTTTATCTGAAGATAACCTATACGCATACCTACTTAGGTATATTTACTGTATTTCAATGAAAAATGCATTTTTTACAGAAAATCGAACATTTATTGACGCTGACCTTACATTGGGTATTGTACTATGATAACAAAATGATAAGGTTTGTCTTACCCTTTAGTCAAGCGGCGCTCGGTAAAGAAAACGAAAAGATTCGCACAGACGCCGGCAGGCTGTTAGCCGAAGTGGCTAGACGGCTGACGAAATTTGTATTCGTCTCAGTGTACCTATAAATAATATTATAATAGTCTTTTGGTATGCTTAATTCAGTCAACTAATTTTGATCTAATATATCTAGTTCAGGTTCAATAATATACTTCACGACAAAGACGCCAATGCGGATTATACAAACGTATTGGAACTATTGATCGCTGTATGAAATAAATTCGAAAATCGATTAAAATAATATGTTTGTAAAACATTTTTTTTTTTTATTGCAAGTTTTTTTGGGTATAATTCAATTCCTTTTTTGATATAATTTATGCCTATATTATTTATTTGATTTTTATTTATTTAAACTCTTTGTTTAAAAAAATAATAACAATCATCATTTGTTACTATATCATTACACTCTACTTAATTTTGTCATTTGGAAAATTATTAATAATTTCGGTGGTACTTAATATACTTAAACAGTGGGATTTTGTGATTGTTGTCGTACTTACATTTTAATAATAGTATGCATTATATGGTGTTCGTTGATTTATGGTTTAATACTATCATCGACTACCCAGATGAATCTTCGATAATCAAAAAAATTGAAATAATTACCGAAAAATGCTAAAAAAATAAATATAAAAATGGAAATTAAACGTTTCACCATCTGTTACATGAATTAATTTATGTACTTAAAAAGCATTGTCTAATATAACTAAAAAAAAGATGAATTTAACATTGAAATCCAGGTCCAAGTGATTATGAATCTAAAGCGTTATTAAAATTTTAAAATTAGTGATTCAAACGACAAATGAGCAGAGACCTATATACATCACTTTTGGTACCTCAGAACATTTTGTTTGAAATAAAATTAAAATATTAAAGGGTTTAAATTTTATTTATGGTAGCTATCGACGTAAATAGAAGGACATTAGGAGGGCTTAGCCCTTTCTATAGATGATAGAGGGGTTTGAAATTCCCTACTCTAACGGCTCTAACTTATTGAATACAATTGTTTAACACTATACGAACATTTTTTATAAGTAAGAGCCGTTAGAAGCGGGAATTTTAAAACACCTCTTTGCTTTTTAAAATAATTTTAAGTGCTATTTCCGAGGCTTTAATATACCAATACTTATATTCATTTGTCATAAAGGTACTGTCAAAATATACATTATTAATGTACACACTGCTCAGTGTCTCAAAATCGCATTGGAAATAAATCGTACACATACCAACTAAGTAACTGACTGTCACCATTCTGCAGCACAATTATTATTGTTTTCACACGTAAATAATTTATAACTGCGCATTTTGTCTAATCATAAATTATAGTGGCGAATCTTATCTCGTCGTTAGCGTGTTTGTCGAAATGGCCGAGCGTCTATTTTCCAAACCATGCCTTTGAATTTAACGAGGTTTTTGGAGCGTAAGATTTTATCATCGACGACGTTTTTCCCCGCGGCGAAAACCGTTAATGACGTGAGGACCTGCGGGACGTCCGTTCCGTGGCTTCATTAGATTACTCGCACATACCTACATTGTGTTTTAGTCAGTTTACGCTCACGTAATGGTTGTTAAACTTCTCTTTCTTACAGCTGCCCTCGTGGGTCAGAGCATAACCCGGCTATCACCCGACATCATCGTCGAACCCGATAAATATCCCAACGTCCTGGAAACAATTAACATTTTTCGAACGACCGTTGAAGATGTATACCCTTTCTGGCTGGTCGTATTCGTGTTCACCGCCACCATTCCCGACAGGTTCATGAAGCTCTTACACGGTACTCTGGGCACATCGGTACTGCTGACCAATGGCACGTACGAACGTTTGGACAGCCAGGTGGCTCTAATGGTCGTCGACCAGACGGACACCATGTTGGACTTGATAAACGATAATCCGGCCGTGTGGGATCAGATGTCACATTACGTGTGGCTGATGCCGCACATCAATCGCTCGGAGGCCAGCACATTGTTCCGGGCCGCTTGGCAACAGAGGTCCGTGGTCAACATAGTAATCGTGATGACTTGGTCCACGTACACGTACGATCCGTTTAAAGATGTTCTCAGAGAGCATTTATCTTTCAACGTGACCGAGATCCGCACGGTGGCTCGACAAAAAATGACAGACCTAAACGGACATCCGGTTCGAATCTGCATGTTTCCCACCAGACTAAAGGCGGTCAAACAGCCTGACGGCTCGTACAAAGGCACTGACGGTATGGTGGTCGGCACGTTGGCGAAACACATGAACTTCACTCCCATTTACATGGAGCCCAGTGACGGTAAAAAGTACGGCTGGGCCGAATTGAACTCAAATTCGAACTTTACGTATACCGGTCTGTTGGGAGATTTAGTCCACGACAGAGTAGACATGGCGTTTAACGGAGCATTTCTCAAAGTAAAATTAAAAATAAAAACACAAATATATACATAGTTCTGAAAAAATAAAATTTCAAAATTGGGTCTGCTCCTAAATGTAAAATAATTATTTTATATACCTATTGTTTTAATATTTATACGCTATACAAGAAACGAATTATTATTTGCTACTTAATGAAATTTGAAACAGACCCCGGATTTTATGTTTTATCGATTTTTTTCTTGAACAAATTCCCCATTGCCATATCAATAGAATTTAGAAACGGACTGAGAGCGGGACATTTGAAATTGCAACATGTTTATCCGTGTAAAATACCTTTTAAACTATTCTTGTTATACCTGTCATTCTTACATTACGATTGTTGATTTTAAGTACTTACGTAAAAACTAAAAACTAAATTATATTACGTCATGCGTGTTGGTCTATACTATAATATATTAATGGGAATATCCTCGGGGTAAAACCAATAAAGTAAAAATAATATACTCTGACTAGTGAGTAGGTATTTACAGTTTACACGTGTCCGTGATAAAGTCACGCAATAAATAGAACCTATAAAATGTAATATTACAATAATTATTGACAACAGGTTAAAATATTTATTTTTGTATTTCAAATTAGCAGAAACGGTGTGTAATACTTAATTGGACAAAAACGAAACGTCAAATTAAACGATTTAAAAATAATTTAATTGTTTGCAAGCCTTACTAACCTAAAATCAAGATAATTGAATTCTCTGATCTACTATAGCTTACACATATATAAGGTGATAAACCTATCGAAATAAGACACTGGGAATATAATACATTTTTTTTTTTTTTAGATTCGGAGCGTAGCATATTGGTTTACTGATGTTTTTTTTTTGCCTGCGCAAACTTGCTCAAATGTATCAAATTTAGCAATTTTTCTAAAAGGAAATTTTAACTAATCGGTGCATTGAGGAGATCATTTTTTTAATTTTCCGAGTAGTTTTTATAATAATTATAAAAAACCGAAAAAGACGTAAAATAAAAACGGATACGTTTTATATGGCATTAATATTTCTTTTATTAAAATTTGTATGAATTATATTTTCTACCAGAACTTTGCTTCAATCAAAAAACGACAAAGGAGACCTTGTTTGTTAAATTTTTGTTATATAATTGGTGAGAAAGTCGTTTATTTATTTTCCGTGTTTTTTTTTTTTTTTAATAATTGAACAAAACCCTCCAAAAAACGTAAACATAACGCGAAAGTTTATGAAAATGGTTTTATTATTTTCAATTTTATTTTTATACTGTAATTCAGTTAAAAGTATTCGTAGAGATTGGAAATTTTGTCAAAAACTAGACATGATAAAGTAGCTTTAAATTATAAAATTGCTGTTATCGTTGACAGAAATTCAAAATTTCAAACCAGGATATATTTAAACATAATCGATTTATGGAATCAGTAATATAGGTTGCTAATTGAACAAAAAAATCGGGATTCAGGATAATGATTTCACTTCCACTTATAAAGGTGATAAAAAGTAACAGTCATATAAAATTTTTAAACTGTTTTTTTGAAAAATTGTTCAAAAAACAAAAAATTCCTATCAATGGATGGTCGGTTACTCTGTAAATGTTCACGTTAACTGTACAATAATTCGTATCGTATTATTACTGAATGTAATCTTTTCCATGGCCACGAACTGCTAAAACCAGTGTCCCAACCATTTTCCTACTCTTTTTTCTAATCATATCCATAAATGTTTTTTTTTTTTTTTATATAGTCTCGTTTGTTTTTATTTTTGTTCAACTTTTCCATTCCGTATGCCTCTAACACCACATCTCAAAGGCTTCTAGTTTTCCTTTTCGGTATCATTTATAAAATATGTTTCACATCCATAAGACAAATAATATTAACAATTTATTATTTTATACAGGCGTACCATTCGAACAACTCGATCCGGTACACGACACCGGTTATGTTCGACGAAATATGTTTCGTCGTGCCCAAAGCGCAGCAAATGAGCCAGTGGCGGGCAGTTTTCACGGCGTTCGACGTGCGTTTGTGGTATTTCTTGGCTGCCACGTTTGTCGTGGCCCTGAGTGCGTGGACCCTCATAAAGCGTACCACCGACACGCCCTACACACTGACCCTGTTATCTATAAATCTGTTCAGAATTTTTTTAATGGTACCGCTCAACCGGGTACCGAAAAACGTCCCCGAAAGGTTGATGGTCGTGTCCACCGTACTTTTTGGCTTCATAACAGCCACCAGTCTGCAAGCGGTCATGGTCAAGTATCTGAGTTATCCCAAGTACGAACGGGACGTTGCCTCCGTGCAAGAATTGTACGACACCGGCATGCCGGTACTGTCGGCTTCCACCAATCTCATATTGTTATTCGAAGCAGAAGACAATCCTCTGTACACACAGATGACCGATAGATTTATCATTGTCAAAAACAAGTCGTTGGACATACTGGGTGAAGTGGCCAGCAAGAGGGTAGATAAATCCATTATTTATTTGCATTAAACGGTACCTATATATTTACATAAAATATGTTTGTAGTAATTGTGTCGAATCGAGTGAACGACTATAAATCATAACCGTAGGTATTTGCTAAATTAAACATCAAAAGCGATTCAAATAACAAGTTAACCTCCAACGAATATAAATAGCCAAAGGGTACCGCGTTTCGCAAGATGTATTTCAATCGGAGAACAGTTAAAGAAAAAAAAAAATTCCAATATTTATTTTTAACGCGATTACAGATTAGACATAATTACTGATTTTGATTATATTAGAAGGGTTGGGTATTATGTTTTATATGGGCGTCTATAGCGTTCGAAATAAAATCGCATGTTACATATCACAGATCTTAAAACTCGATTGTTTCGGAGCGAAACGTTTATGCAATTATACAATAGTTAAGTACATTTGAAATCGAATTTCAGGATGAACGAGTAAAATTACCTGCTTAGCTACACATACATTTTAGCATTTTTAATGGGTTATGCCGTTTCAATGTGGTTCAGAAAAATTATAAGATAAGGGACGTGATTAATACTTTATGATTATTGACATTAAACATTTGTATTAGTTAACGAAGTGCACCATACACAATACAGAACAACGAAACAGTAGGCGCAGTTCAAACTGTTTGCCCAAAGAGTAAATAATGCGTATTTCAGAAATCGTTAAGTGCAACTGTTTGCTACATGAATGCATTTTTTGACAAACTGTTCGCCAGATTCACAAACACTTACGAGTAGTGTTTAATGGTTTTGTTTACTCGTTATCACGATAAAAACAAAATTTTTGACATATAATTTTGGAGATTAACCAAAAAAATATTTATAAACGATAGCAAACAAATGCAGAAAATGTGGCAAACTGGTTATAAAAAATTAACTCACCAAAATACGCCTAGTGAAAAGAAAAAAATTTGCCTAACAATCTAACTGTATAACCTTAAAACTTCATTTTTTTGTTATTAATACATTATCACACATATTATATCTCACGTTTATATCAACATTAATGATGTACAGCGTACGCCTTGGTCTCAGAAGATAAGATCTGACAATTTTCTACCCTCCCGCACATTACAATATTTCTGCTTAATTAATGAGGTGGAAGCGTTTCCTTTAGCCACCGCTGCAATACTATCAATTAAACTTAATTTAAGGTCTTCCCAACCTTATGAGGGTAAAATTCACTGGAAATTAAAATTGTGTGCATTTAATTTGAGATACGTATAAATTCTAAATTTCGAAAATACTAAATCAAATTTGACACCTTCAATGTTTTATCAATAAATATAATAATCTTTCGTTGTTATAAAAAAATGAGGCCTTTTGCACAGCAAGATTAAAAGATCAAAGATTATAGTATATGTTATATTCAGAATAATATGAACTTATCTATTTCTGAAATGATGCATCACCAAATTAAGGTGATAATTTAAACATAGGAATTTGATAATGTGCATATCATTAAGGCACTATTAAGGTGTGTAATCTCATTCTTCATTTTGATTCCAGTTCATTTTGGTTTTATTACTTTATTAGCACTATTTCGTATTTCAGTATTTTCCTCAGTCACTTTTAAGAAATCTGAACAATTTAAATTTTTTACTGACCTGTTACTACAATTTACGGTACTGTAGCAAAGTATTTTAACAAGCAAGGATTGCTGTGGGAGTCACTACAATATATTAAATAGGTACTACATATTTTAATAAAGTATTTGATTACACGATGTAGAAAGTAAAAACCACATTAGACATAACTACACTGTCAAGTAAAATCACACTTCTATACTAGAGACTAGAATACTAGAGCACTATAATGGTGCTCTAATGTAATACGATTTTGGATTTTATTATTTCATAACTACCATAAAGCCCAATTTCACAGCCTGAAAATTTGTAAATGTCTTCGCTTGGCTAAGTGGAATATTGATAAAGTATAGTTGTCCGACCTTATATTCTAAGATCTTAGAGTACGCGGTCTTTTGTTCGTGCTGTCTTTCTCTAAGAATAGTCTGTGGTACAGTCATAGAAGTGACCGTGTGATAACTGATAAGCTACAATAGCCCGTCCATTTATTTAGTATCTATGAAATATAAATAGCACTTTTAACAGACTAACAGTAGGTATAACGAGGATAAATACTGTCGCGTATGTTTGACAACTGTAGTAGATTTATTCCAGTTGCGAATAACAAACAAGTTTAACCGTGACGTTGAAATTACGTACAACGATAGGTATTGCAATATTTTGGAATACCCGCCTAATAACTCAAATTACTAATATGTCATAAATAAATCGGCGTGCGTGTATTCCAACAATTCGAAATTACTTTGCTATGGTATAGTTACTGTGTCTTATAGTTTTCAAACGGTTCACTTTTCGTTGTTGGTGTACAATTTTAAAGTGACGTTTTATTTTATTTATTTGCACGTAACCCGGAATAGGAACATCATTAATATAATGTTATAAATCCGTTATACCTATGGCATCGTATCCAAAATATGTCAAATGTTAACTATTTATTTGCGAAAATAATATGATTCAGATTCTTATATTGGCTGCAATCGCGTAATATATTATTAGGCGAATTTGTCGAATATTTGAGGAACGTAAGTGTGTGGACTTTGAAATTCAGTATGCGCGTCTAAACTATGCGAAAGATAATATTTTTGACCGTGTGAACCGTGCTTTATTGATTTGGTTTTTGGTTTTTTTTTCACCAATTTCAGACGTCAGCTGCGATCGGAAGGAAAAACGATCTAGTGGAAAAAATCGCCAGATCCTACGTCAAAAACAACGAGGTTCTGTTACACATTGTCGAAGACTGTCCGCGGTCGTTTCACATCATCTACCTGGTCCGCCGAGACTCGCCTTTCATGAACGTCATCAACAACATTATCACCATATTCGTGGAGAGCGGCATCGTCAACAGTTGGTTTATGCACGCGAAACCATTTCGGCCCATATCCGATTACCATCACCAAAAAGACGCGCACAAAGTGTTTACCATGAAAAATGTGGTGATCGCTTTTTTGTGCTTAGCGATCGGATTGTCCATCAGCGGAGCTGCTTTTGCTGCCGAACTTATCTATTTCCACAAATTCTCGGCTACGAAAACCGCATCAGCAGCCGCTACCGTCCGCTATCCGAGAAATCCGGTATTTACCAAACGATTTTGAACATCAAAAAACGTATTCTCATTCTTCTCCTTCTTTTACACTTATGTCCCTCCCACATTCTCGTATCCGTCATGGTTTCGCGTTTTGGTTTTAAAATACACTGTGCATATTACTAAAATATTGGACTAAAAAAGAATCAATAACTGCGTGCATGGAAAAAGTCCGTTTTTTCGTGGTGCAACGAGAACTATAATTTTTCAACGAAATAATAATAAAGATACGACTTTGAAAATGTGATTTATTTATTTAATAGCTAATCATATCTGAACGTCGACTTGATTAAAACGAAAAAACGTTTTTTTTTTTTTTTTTTGTTCTGTAGTAAACGATGTAATATTACGCGTAATTATAAAACAAAATGATAACATGTTGTGTGTTAAATGTTCAAGTATTTCTGTGTTTACAAACAATTACATCCATATAAAACTCTGAAATGGCATATGCATACATATAAATAGCTGAAAAATCGCTCTCTTCGATTATTGTTATCGAATAACAAAAAAAAACAAAAAACAAAATCGAATATACTAATAGTACTGAAAAATTTCTCGTTTTTTCCCAATAATTGAGAAAACTACTCGAAAAATCAATTTATAACTTCATTAACATACCAACAAGATTCAAAACGCGGCATAAAAAGACATTTTTAAACTTTTGTATTTTGGTTGAAAATTTATTTACAGACAAAAAGAAAAAAACACATTTTATAGCAAAACCATTAAAATTCTCGGAGTCTAAAAAAAAAAAACAAATGCGCAGTAGCTATATTATATATTAAAATAATAATTTAAAAACGATTTCTTGTGTCAATAAAATACTATAGATATTTCAACATTATTACAATTATCAAAATACATAACACTGCTGAACTTTCTCCCGGAAATCTTTTTTCGGGCGAAATAATTTTAAAACTGATTACTGTAATATTGGAATAATGTGCACATTCATCAATTATTAAAAAACACCATAATTGACAGCAATTAACATTAGATAATACAAAGAAACATTATATATCACATCACATCCTAATAATCAAACCTTAATATACTATTCTTAAAATATACTCTGTACCGCGATAACTATGTGCCATTGTACCGTATGTCGTATTGAAATCAGTGAACAACGACAATCTCACTTTAAAACACTATAAAAAAATCCCACGCTCACCGTCTCAATTCTTCCAGTCTTAACAAAGACTTAGGCTCCGACTAACCACGTCCATCCATAAATACCAGTGAAGTGCGATTGTCGTTGTATTTGATTCAACTCCACCTCGTCTTTTTCTTTTAATTTTATTAACTTGAACTTGCAAAATAATTATACGTTACGTGAATTTCGCATCTTTTCAATCACGTGAGGAGAATCTTTCACAGAGTACATACCTACACGTCAAACAAGTAATAAATTATAACTCTTACTCTAATTAAACTCATCCCCATTAAGGTAGTGAACATAAAATCTGGATCCTTGCCCTCGTTTTTTTTTTTTTGTCTCATTACAATATTATTAAAAAAAAAATAATTACAAAAATATAACATTGCCAAACCGATAACCGATGTATCGTGTATCAAAATGAAAATATATATATATTTTTTTTTTCTATACCGAATATGATCGAGTTTTAACGTTGATTATATTTTTACACAAGAACATCGCATATAGTTTTTCAAATTTCTTAGATTGGCTATGACATTATAAAATAATATATCGAATGTGTCATGAACATTCGAGTCCATATTTATGAATTTCTTATCGTATATATATATATATATTTTTTCGACCGTAGTTTGTGGGCAACCTGACTTATTGACAGTTGAAGATTACTTTTACTTATTCCCGCGAGAAAACGTAACGCAAACGATTTTACATATTATATATATTGTACAGCTGCAGTATATACTGGAACAAAATCGAAAAACCAAGCTCACAGAACTGAAATGAAATCCATTTTGAGACTAAAATTAAGTTTAGAAAGTATAAACGAAAATCCCATATAGATACATGCCCTCGTTAAAATATTGTTATATCCCGGTCGTGTCGGCGGCTATATATTTTATACTGTGCTTAAATGTATTACATTTTTTTTTTCTATCACACGAGAAAGTATTATAATATAAATATAATAATAATAATATAATATATTTGCAGACAAACAGTTAGTATATTTCACTACATATGTAGTCAATTGTCCGCACACCTTCTTTAAGCTATTGTTTGTATTAAAGGCGATGGACTATTAAAATTATTGAATTAAATAATTATAGTAAATGCTTATTTCTACTTATTTAAATAAATACAATATACATTAATTAAAGTTATAAAAAAAAAAAAAAATAAACAACGCATAATGTACGTAATAAGAAGGTATAATTTATATAAATTAAATAAAAAAGAAAATACGACTCTAAGCAGAGTACGCTTGAACGTGTTTTAAACTCCAATATTTTTACAATTTTAATTATATTATTACGCTCAACTAATGTTTTTTTCTACTAAATACAACTTATAATGAACCCCGTGTAAAATTTTCAAACATTAATGCTTTGCTAAAAAGATTTTATCCGCAGAAAAACAAAAAAAAAAAAAACAGAAAATATCAAATGCTTATAATTAGCAAAGAAAGAGCAAACATATTTTGAACATTTTACCAAGTATAGAAAAGGCAAATGTAATTTTTTTATTTCAAGTCTCTATGATTGTTTTTAATCGAATGACAACAAAACAAATAATTCGAAATTAATAAAACCATAAATGCCATAAACGTTCTTGTTTTTCTTACGCCTTTTCCCAATCTTTATGAAAACTGCAAGAAAAATTTTAAAAAATCACCACTCCAATGTACCAACTAGATACAATAAGGGTAAATTATTTACTTTTAAAAAAGATACTGCATATGAAAATCGTAAAAATTTATCTTTATAGTAGTACCAATATCTAGATACATTGCTGTTCACAGGATCCAATAAGTGGAACTCGGGATGACTTATTACATTTTAATCCCATAAAAAAAGCTCTAAAAAACAACAGCAAAACGCTTGAAAAAGCTCTTAAGGAATGTTTAAAAAAGAAATAATGGTATCAGTATTTAACAATCCTAACTTAATGAACAAAATTGTTTAACACTACACAAATGATTAACAATAAGGATTTTGTTATAATAGAAACATACATTTATATCCTTTTCCAGGCGTTTTCAACTATTTTTTTGTAAATTTTAACATGCAATATTCCTTATCCCTGAAGTAATAAGTAAGTATTAAATCCAAAAATATTTGATTATTTTTTTTTAAACTAAGAGTCAATAAGTGATAAGTTTATCAAATCATTTATGTTGCATCTTTTAACGATTTTCTTTCCAAAAACTATTTAATGAAAACAAAAAACACAATCGTTTCAAAATAATTTTATTTTAATATACTACTATACAGTCAAGGGTAAATTATAATAAGAATTTGATGGATTTAAAATATATATATATATGCTTTACTTTAAATGTTTTGTTTTTTTATTTTTAATTATTAGAAATGGTTTTTTCTCGTTGTTACGCAGCAGTTTCTTTTATGTACGCAAAAAATCCATAAAAACTTGACAACCGTTTTTTTTTCTTTTGAAAAAACTAATATTTTTCTGCGCGTGCATTATTTATATAACGAAAAGTGATGTTTTTGACACGTTTGAAACACCTATAAAGTGTTACATTTATTATTATTATTATTCGACCAGAAGACGTCTTACTCAAAACGCTTTATAATGATCTAAAATATTGTTTTATCATTCGAAATATTTAATACGACTCGCCGGTTTACAATAGATTGAATTAACATCAAACTATCTACAATATTACTACCCTATAACCTAACTTAACCAAAACGGCACCCATTAGATTTCTATGGCGAGCTAGTCAAAATAATGCTGAAAAAACTATAAATCCGAATTAGCAGAACCTATTAATATGTATTATACAATATACTCCTTAATTGATATCATACCCAGATGCTGATGTCTCTATCTTACCATCGCATAAGATATTAAATTTCCTTTCAACAGAGACAATTTTTTGCCGTTAATTTTTATATCTGAATGAATTTATTTTTTATCAAAACTTAAAAATAGGAACATTACCTATGGAATCCGTAAGTTATATTTTTATTTTTCGTATCGGATAAAAGCATTTTTAAATTGTCATATTATTCACACATTCCAGTTTTATCATTTAGTCTGAAATAGCTCACTCGAAAATTGAAACGTATAGAACAATGTTATCATTTTTCTCGAGTTTTTCCTGAAAATAGACACTCTTACACTGCAGTATAGTGTATGTATATTTGTCATTTTCCCGATATATATGAACAATTTTACCGATTCACTTTGTATCAAATAGCCTCCAATTCGGAAATGAAATCTGTTTCATTAAGCGAATCATAATGATAAAAGTTGGATTGAATTTGTACATGCATTTCTCCATGTTGTTACGGGGAAAGAGTGTTTTTTAACATTGAGCACACTTTTAAACTCCTCAAATAAAGTAAGAGCGATGAAATTTTATGTATCTGGGATTTTTACTTTAAACTTCCTTCTGTCATTCGTAGTTTAAATTTCACCATTTCATTTTTATTTTTTTGAAAGTATATAGTCGTAGTATTGTACAGTATTGCATTAATATATAGCATCTGGTTATTTATTGATTTACGAAGGATAATTCTATAACACAAAATAGGTTAACCTAATTTGTATCCCGGTGGGGGATTAAATTCGACTTTATACTGACAAAGACTCTCTGCTCACGGTTGTTTTTTTAATAGGCAAAAATGTCGTATGAAAAAAAAAACGACAACATTGTGTATGGCAACATTTCTCTATCTACGGTACGCAGAAACCTTAAAGGTGGTACGTGAAGAAAAAAAATATTTATGACTGGAGGTTAACCGGATTTATTTCGCAAGTATCCAAGAATAATCTTTCAGTATTTGAAACACTGAACAAATTTTAGGAAGACAACG